TGTGTAGGATGCAGCCCTGGGAAGGAGCCGTGTAGGATGCAGCCCTGGGAAGGGGATGAGATCTGCGTAAAGACTGAATAACAACATACCAATATCAATAACAATATACGAATGTTCATTTCTTAGTTTTCACAAATGTAATACAATTATGTCAGATGTCAACATTGGGAGACGCTAAGGGAAAGATCTGATACAGAAACTCTCTCTAAGGTTTATACAATTTTTTCATAAATATAAAATTATTCTAAATCAAAAAAGTTTATTTTTAAAAAGAGAGGACAAATATAACAGCAAGATAGTAAACTTATTAACAATTATACTAGGAATTGCAGTATATTTAAATGGGACAAGCACTCTTATTAGAAGTTAAAGATTATAAGAATGTATAAATAAGACATATTTTTGCCACTTAAAAGAGAGAAATTAAATTATAAATACATAGAATGAATAATCTCTGATGTTCTATAGCAATGTAGGATGACTGAAGGTAAGAATAATGTACAATTTCACAAAGCTAGGAGTTTCTTGAATGATCTCAACTTAAAAAGTAATAAATGTTTGTGAAGATAGATGTGCTAATTACCATGACCTGAGCATTGTACATTATCTGTATGGTAGCATCTCTATGTATTAGGTGTTAATTAAAAAATAATATGAGATAAGGAAAAAAAATTAGGCCTGAGATAGCTTGAAATTAAAAGAATAAGAAGTGTGATATCATGTTAAAACTAATGGAAAGAAACCTGTCATGGGTATATTAGTATGTTGATTCCTCATTAGTAATTACTAATATATGATTAATATCAATTCTTAGTACATTTATTAATAATTGATTTAATAATGAAGGACTACTTGAAATATTCGAAATGAAAAAGGGCAAAAGAATTTATAAAAGACAAAACAGTTTGAACATTTTTTGAATTTCATGACATACTATCAAAAGAGACCTCAAAAGATCAATAGACAAATCCATAATCGTAGTTAGAGATTCTCACTGATTTCCTCAGTACGCAAAGCAGCATCAGGAACTGCGGAAGAGTGAAGCGGCATAACCACCAACCACCCTCCCCCCGACGGTGTGTGACAGACGGTGTGTGACAGACAGTGTGTGACAGACCCTGTACCCGGCAGGCGCACATCACATCTGTGTCTCCAGTGCACTGGGTACATTCACCCAAAGGCCCCTGTGCTCATGATAAACGTATCAACACATTCAAAACGCTGAACTTGTACAGAGGATATTTTCTGATTGTCAAGTATTTTGTGATGATTTGCAACTTTCCTACTTGAACTATAGATTCATACACTGGGTGTGTTGTGTTTGCTGCGGTTTATAACTCATCCCTCAACTTCCTAAATTTTACTTCCATCCTATCAGAGTGGTCATACTGTTTTCACCAGCAATGCAGCCATCTAGGGTGATAAACACATTTCCATAACTGTTTCTTCATTTCCTTCCTTTTTTTCTCCTGACATGAGCTTTTGGCATTCCTGGATTTCTTCACTTACATGATGTGGCCACAGAGAAATGTAATTATGCACCCTTTTATTTCTAAGAATTGCATTGGCTATTTGGCTTTTTTCTGGTTCCATATAAAATAAAGTACTCTTTTTTCAAGTTCTTCAAAGAATGACATTGGTACTTTGATGGAGATTGCATTAAATCTGTAGATTGCTTTGGGTAGGATGGACATTTTAACAATGTTGATTCTTCCCAGCCATGAGCATAGTATGTTCTTCCATTTGTGAATGTCTCTTCATATTTCTTTTCTCAGGGTTTTGTAGTTCCCTCTGTAAAGAACCTTCACATCCTTTGTTTGGTATATTCCCAGGTATTTCATTTTCTTTGAAGCTACTGTGAAGAGTATTATGTCTTTGATTTGATTCTCAGCTTGAATATTACATGAAGGCTGCTGATTTGTGGACATTGATTTTCTATCCTGAGACTTTATTGTATTTCTCCATCACTTCCAGGCGCCTTGTAGTTGAGTCTCTGAGGTTTTCTGAACATGAGATGAGATCTTCAGCAAAAAGCAAGAGTTTGAGCTCCTCTGTCCCCATTTGAATAACCTTGAAAAGATAAAAATTTAAGACATGAAATGATAAAAATTCTAGAGGAAAGTGTGAAAAAACTCTTAACAACATTGGTCTGGGAAAAGACTTTATGATGAAAATCCCCTTGGCAATTGCAGCAACAGCAAAAATAAGTAAACGGGACCTGATCAAACAAAAAAAACATCGGCACAGCTAAGGGTACAACAACTGAGGCATACAGACAACTTTCAGAATGGGAGAAGATATCTCTATGCTATGAATCTGACAAAGGGCTGATGACCAGAATCTGCAGAGAACTCAAACCAATCAACAGAGAAAAAAACAATCCCATCTATCACTGGGCAAGAGACAGAACCTTAAAAAGACAGATGAATGGCCAACAAACGCGGGAAAAGACTCATCATCCCTAATCATCAGAGAAATGCAAATAGAAACATTAAAACTCAGAGAGAGAACAAGCTCTGGAGTCCAGGTTAGCAGCTTGAAATCTTATCAGAAATCAGTAAAGGCAAATATACCCACAATTGTTTCTCTCGGGGAGAAATCAGACCAGTGGGGGAAAGAAAATCGATGTAACATGGAAATGAAATGAGGTTTGTGTTCGTAAAACAAGGACATGAGATGAGATTTGTGTATTTCAGAGGAATACATCCTTTTGCTGCTTTGGTGAGCAGAGGGTGCTACTCACACCAGACATCAGCCCTTGATGTTTAGGACCTTTGCGGTGCTTGGACAAAACTAGAAACTATGGGCCCTCTGAGCCCCATGCAGCACTCACATCCCACACCCCCGGCAACCTCAGAGGGATCCCCCAGTCCCTAATTCATAGATGAATCAACACCTTCATACAGCAAAAGTGTGGTGTTCATGGATTTGCTTTAGCTTTGGAAGTTCCAGAATTTCACAGAGGAAGGAAGTTAACTAGAATTACAACACTTTGTCCTAATTTAAACAGCAAATTAAACTTTTGACGCGGGTATTTCCCTAACCCTTGTGGAAAAAGGGTTATGACCCAAGTGTGATTTATTTGTTCTTGCCAAGTACACAATGAACAAGCAAACATTCTTATGAATGTAAGAAAGTTACCTGAAATAACAAATATGTTTAACAGA